ACAGATACGGCCTTTCATCATTGATCCAATCTAAGGTTTGTCCAATATTTAAAGGTTGCGAGAGGCTTGTTTTAAATATAACAGCCTAAGGCAAGGCAAACATGAAGATTTATAAACAGGTATCTAAAATATATAGCCGTACCGAGATAATGTCCATTTCCCCCTCGTTTTAACGGCTCTCAACAGCTAAGGGCGATACGTACCCGGGGAGACATCGCCAAAAAGAAGGAGTATGTAGGAGGCAATTCAAAGGAGCGGATAAACGTAATACAGATAAATTCATTGTTTACAGACAACGCAATACCATTGTCAAGACTGTCGAGTCGTTATGCCATTTAAAAAGGCAATTTTGTTTCGAAGCCTTCCACATTTTGAATATTATACTGATTTGAGAAAATACGGTAACGAGACTGACAGAGACGCAGACGAAGGCGAGGCAAACTCCTTCCTTCAATGCTTTTTGATTGCCTTGCTGATTGTTGTCACTCATAGTGTCGCGAACGAGAAATCATTAGATCCCAGAACTGAACCTGAATTCAAAATTTGAATCAGAAGTCTCCAAAAGCGCTTCATGTCTTTGATTAAGTTCATCAAGATCGACATCGTCTTTTTCTGTCACCATCTTTTAATGCCGATGACAACATGTACTCGTTGTACCCATGGAGAATAATGTGAGGCTAATGACCCACTTTGTCGTAGAAAAAATCAAACATTTAGTGATTTAGTAAAATATACAAAGTTTATTACAAAGGTTTCTCTGTTAGACTACAGGTGTTTAACGTTGTATCAACGCATATTGTAGTCTCTCTCTATATATGAACTCACATCTTTATACTAGAAGAAAATGTCTTGGCACCCCCGCCTGGCAATATCATGATTTTGCAACGTTCGCCGAAGAGGGAAATGCAGTAGGTCCTGTACCAAATCCGGGACCTACAATAGTCCTTAAAACGGTCGTTATTTCCTACTGAACTTTCAGCATTTATGGTAATCGCACAATTGCTTATTTGGTTTGCCAATATAATATGACCGTTAAGTGTACTGTGCTTGATTCATTCTACATGGTATTTCAGTGACTTAACTTTCTAAGTTGGCATCAGATCCGCACTACGACAAGAATATTAGTGTCTAACATGGCGGCACGTCTCTAAGTGTGTAATGTATGCACGTGTATGCATGTATGCCGACCAAAAATGTTAATACAAAAACAAAACTTTTCGTTTCCAAAAACGCACTGACCGATACCTCACGTTTTGGCTTTGGGGTGGGGGAAGTCGCCCAAGCAAGGAAGGTTATACAACCTGTTCCTCTACCGAGACAAGTACTTAAACTTTGTACTTTTTGCTATCTCCTTGAAATTCAGATTTACTCTAAACAACTGAAACTCTAAATGCGGTATCAGATGCGCGCAGGTATATGCAAACATGATCACACGGTTTGGTTAGATTTTATTGATCTTAGCGTCCGATACACAGAACAGCTTAGTTTGTTTGTTTGTTTGTTTGATTTTGTTTAACGTCCTATTATTAACAGCTAATGTCATTTAAGGACGGCCTCCCCTGTGTGCAAGATGCATGCGTGTAGTGTATGTGTGTGTATTTTGGGAGGCTGCGATATGTTCGTGTTTATCTCCTTGTGATAGCGCGGAACTGATGCCGACTTTATAGTGCTACCTCACTGAAACATACTGCCGAAGATACCCAGCGTACGCCTCACCCATTCACATTATACTGACAACGGGCGAACCAGTCGTCCCACTCCTAATTTGCTGAGCGTTAAGCAGGAGTAGAAACTACCATTGTTAAAGACTTTGGTATGTCTCGGCAAGGGGACAGAACCCAAAGCCAACCTCACAGGGGCGAACGCTCAACAAATGGCCAAAAGTGAGGCATTGTCAAGGGAGACATTAGGAAGAAGAAAGTTATTTAGAAAGGAGAGAAGAGATAAGGTCCCAAATGTAGTCGCCTCTTACGATCATGCAATTGGGGGCAGCAGGTACAATTCTTACGCCCTACCTGCAGGTTAGATCGGGGTACTTAAAGAACTGAGTTATCATGTGACCAAGATTCCGAACGACCTCCTAATAAAAGTTCTCCATCATCCATCAGTTTTTCTGTTCCTCGTGTCCTTAATGAACTGGTCAATGCATAGACAAAACCTGTAAGCGACCTTGTGTCCTCAATTATAACTCTTTCTTCGAGATTTAAACATCAGAGTGAGGTGTTTGTTGCTGACGTTCTAGCTAATGACCCCGAAATTGAGTCCATTGTGAGGATATGTTTCGATTGGAATGTAGCGGATATGTAGCCAAAATGAGCCCATCAGGAAGCTGAAATCAAACTTCTAAATGAAAAACGTCACCGTTTCCAACAGGAAAGTAACGATCCAATTGACGAGCATGAACAATACTCAAGGCGTACATGTTTGAATTTTGTAAATCCTTTTAACTTCCCGTGTGTTTACATAACATATATGCTTGCACACGTCAGCTATTTTAAAATGAGGTCAGCGTACACGTGAAATTGCAGTTGATTAACGCTTACTTTGAAATTGAGTTATGTCTATTTATAAGTATCACATAACAAATCGTATAGCTAAACACTTAAAGGAAACGCATTTCGTTCAACTTTGTATTCACAGTGAAGGCACTTTACCTGTACCTGATATCTTGTAGCAACGTGTCTGCTGTCTTCACGTGTAACGCACGGCCAACTCTATTTTGCATAAACTCCAGTTGCGCACGAACTTCATATTTAACGATATAACCAGCACTTTCTTATATCGCAGACAAAGTTCTGTATACAAATGTATATGTATATTAAATAACGACATACACATAGCTTGTCATGTTTTTGTAAAGACTAATAATGATGTTTATAAATAAATATGTAATAATCATATCTTGGATCTTCATATGTAATTGTGTTTTGTTGTTTACATACAATATTTTAGTCCAGAATGATTTGCTTCCACTTGGTCGTTCAAAAGTATGTAGATGTAGTGCCAAAGGAGAAAGAATGTGCACGAGATGTGATGAACAACGTACAAGCAGAAAGTGAACCATGCATGGTTCTGTCTGTTTCGGTATAGACCACTCACTTGACAATCAACTGAATTGTCTTAAATAATTTAAAACACACATTATGTTTATATATGTTATATTTAATATTTAAAAACGCATAAATAAACATGCATGTTCTTTACTTATTCACCATTAAAATTTCAAAATGAACTACTCGAACCTTTGAATAGGAAGAGTTCAAATGTATCTTCAAGGGTAAATAAGTCAATTATACTTGTATCAGGCTATTCTGGAAAAGTGTTTGTTTGGTTTGGTTTAATTTTGTTTAACGTCCTACTAACAGATAAGGTCATTTAAGGACGTACATCCATGATTGTAGTGTATACGTGCTTGTATGCATGATACAGGCTATGTTGATGTGCTTGCCTCCTTGTGATAGCATGGATCTGATGCCGACTTTATAGTGATATCTCACTGGTTCACCTGTTATGAGTATAATGTGACCGGGCGGAATGCTTTGCTTGGTGCCTTCAGCATGGTATTTCAGTGAGATAGCGTGTATCTGATGCCGACTTTATAGTGCTATCTCACTGCAATACCATGATGAAGTCACCCAGCACAGCATTCCGCCCGGTCACAATATACTGACAACGGGTGAACCAGTTGCCATTACCCTAAGTGCTGAACGTTAAGCAAGGAATAACATTTTTTTTGATATGTCCCGACCTTGGGACTAAACCCATTGCCTTCCTCACCTGGGCGAACGCTCAATATAAAGGCAGGCGCTAGAAAATAGATAAAGATCCCAAATATTACAACAGGTGCAGCAGATTTAGTTTGGTCGCTTTTGTGTCCCCAAATAGAGGACACCAAAGCAAATCCCTAATTTTGCAAAAACCGAAAGTTGACATTTTTGGTAAAACATCATGATAGAAAAAAAAAATCCCCTTGCCTATTTCTTCATCAAATCCAAAGATTAACTTTGTGCTTGATATTGTTTACGAAATATATTGGTATAGGCTGTTAACCAATCAGAGTTCGTGGCAGCCATGTTGGAATGATAATTGCTCCCAAAAATAGCACAAGTTGGAGAGGACCCGCAGTGGAATACATGTACTAATTTTGTTTAATACTGCACTGGCAGAATTGGAGAAGAAGGATTTAGAATGTTTTTTCGCAAAACACCGCATTTTAACTTTGACCCCATACCGAAAACCGGAAGTTGACATTTTTGTTAAAACAATATGATAGAAAAAATTGCCTTTTCTTATCTCTTTATCTTATTAAAAGAAGAACTTATATTTGTATAAGCTATTAACCAATCGGAGCCTGTGGCGGCCTTCTTGAATTTGTAATCACTCCAAAAATAAAAATAAGCTCGTCAGGTCCTCCAGTGTAATACATGTACCAAATCTGCACTAGCATAATTGGAAAAGAAGATGCGTAAATGTTTAACACAATACAGCAGATTTTAAATTTTTAAAAATGTGTTACCCAATATAGTGCATTTGAACTTTGACCCCTATGGAGAATGGGAGAAGAAGATCGTTCAAGTTTGTAAAAATATTGCCGGCTTTTCAAAAATATCAAGGGAAATAATGAACACGTCATAAAACGTTAACCATATGACGTTAACGGGTAATGTTTTAGAAACAATAAATATATATCGAATTAATCGGAAGGCTATAAACTGCCGGGGACACCCAGCAGGACACCACATCCAGTCACATTATACTGGCGAACCAGTCGTCCCACTCCTAAATTGCTGAGCGTTAAGCATAAGTAAAAACTACCATTTTTACAGACTCTGGTAAGTCTCTGCCAGGGGACAGAACCCAAAGCCTTCCTCACAGGGGCGAACGCTCAACTAAAGGCTAAACGTGAGGCATTGTCAATGGAGATATTAGGAAAATGAAAGTTGTTTAGAAAGAAGAGAAAAGACAAGATCCCAAGTTAAGTCGCCTCTTACGATCATGCAATGGAGGCAGCAGGTACGATTCGTACGCCCTACCTGCAGGGACTTGACACTCTATTGAATGAATACTTTTGTAGTATTACTAATATTGACGATAGTAATATTGATCTGCCTATTTTAGAGCCGAAAACAAATAGCTCATTTAACTCTAAAATAATTAGTTTTAATGAAATTTGCGACTTAAACACACTGCTGACACAGTCTGTAAACCTCTTGAACTTCTTTTCGCCGTTTACCTATCTACCTACAACTATCTGGAAAGTAGCAAAAGTCATGCCTCTTTTTAAAAAGGGGAAAAGGCACTCTCTTTCTAACTATCGGCCACTCTCTCTTCTATCTACTGTCGATAAGTAGTACTAGAAAGGGTAATTTTTAAGCACTTGCATAATATATTTTTTGAAAATGCTGTATTTTATCAGTACCAAGCCGATGTTATGCCCGGTCCGTAAAATTGTATCGACTAGTAGAAATATATCACAACATTTGTTTAGACCTAGAAGAAAAGAAACACTCGTATGATATAATGTGCCATTTCTAAAGTCTTTGATAGAGTTTGGCATCAAGGTCTACTGGTAAAGTTCAAATCATATGGTATTTCACGTGACTTCCTGTCCTGGATAAAAAAAAACTATTTATGTAAAAGACAACAGGAAGTATTTATAAATAGTTCGTCCCCTGATGTTGGTATGATTGGGGTCGGAGTACCATCAGGCTCAATTCTAGGGCCTCCTCGTTTTCTTATTTTATAGCACGTCTTTTTGCTGATGGTACCACTCTCAAAAAATATCTTCTTCTTCTTGTCGAGAAAAATTATCAATTTCAAATAGAGATTTAGAAAATTTTAATAAGTGGGCAAAAAATTGTTGCTTTTAATCTAACCCAATCTGAGATTGTTTTTATATCAAATTCAGATAATTTGGATGAATATCTTTACTCAATTTTTGATGTTTTTTTTTTTGAATTTCAGTAGTTTGCATAGACATCTTTGAGTCTTTTTTAATCCAAATGCAAAATGGTCTGATCAAGTTGATGAGTTTTATCAATCAGTAATGAAAAAAGTAAAGGTATTCAGAAAAGTTAAATATATGTTAAAGCGTGATGATCTATTACGAAGTTTATAAATCATTTATATTACCTGTTCTCGAATATGCGTATGAGGTTTGGGATGGATGCTCTCAAGTAGATTCAGAAAAGCTGGAATGGGCTCAGCGTGATGCAGCAAGAATAATTACTGGAATACCATCTCATGCCAACACTAAATCTGTATATATTGAATCAGAATTAAAATTACTTTCGGATAGAAGAGCTAGAAGAAAACATCAATTATTTTATACGATGAACATGAAAGTGACTTCAAGCTTTCTATCAAATCTATTACCCCCTTAGTAGGTGAAAACAATCCATATGCTTTAAGAAATAAAGACAACTATAGAATTCCAAATTATCGACTTTCTACTACAAAACATTTTTTTTATACCTTCTACATTAAAAATTGTAGCACTTTAGATTATAATATTAAAATTTCTGCCTCTCCCACCTTTAAATTATAGCTCTATCCCATCATATTAAGTCAGCCATGTTACTATAGGTATGGTAAAAGAAACATAAATATTATATATACTAGACTAAGACATCGATGTAGCTCTCTTAAAGATGATCTCTTCTGGTTTAGCTTAGTTCAGGATTCTAAGTGTGTAAAGTATGAGCACTTTTGTAGAAATATTGTGCAGTCCTTCATAAAATCAAGTGTAAAATTTTGAACATCAACTATATGTTTGTATTTATTTCAATTTACATGTAATTGACTTCTTTCAATTATTGAATTTGAAATTGATTGTCTATGTTATAACTTGGATATATATGAAATGTTTTGTTGATAGGAGATGGTTTCATAAGTTGCTATAACTTGTGCCAAATCCTTTGCATTTATTTTGGACAATACAATATGTTTAAGGTCATTGACTCGTATCTGAAGATATTATTTCGCTAGCGTATTAAATGATTTGTGCTAAATATTGTGTCATTATTATTAGATACATTGCAAAACTAATTGTTATCTAATTCAATCTAATTAAAATTATATCTTCACATCGCTCCCGTTTACTGATATGTCGCGTTGAAGATCTAACAACATCCCGTAGAGGGTCACGTCAGAGGTCAACATGAATGCATTATCGTATTTATAACAAGCCAATCAAAACGCGACATAACTCTTTCTTTAAACCAATCAGAAAGCAGGACCTGTAGCATTTAATGCAGACACCTCGTAGCCAAAAATCCAGTCTGGTCCAGTGATAGTTTGAATATTGCGAAGCCTGTCATTGGTTAATTTTAGTTTCAGGTTGTTAAACTTTTAAACGACAACATCACCAGAAGAGGAAGTCTCTCTTATTTCAAAGCAAAATCCACAAATTGTACAAACGTTGTCTTGTAGATAAACACGGCGTGGTGTCATGGGCGCCGCCATTTTCGATGCTCATTTGACCTCTCTCGGTCTTTTACCATAGCAAGTGTGTTCCGAAATCATTACATCATCACTTACAGAAATGCGTAAGCTCTCATCTGATTGGTTAATGCAAAGGTCGCCTGAACATGACCCTCAACGGGATGTTGTTAGATCTTCAACGCGACATATCAGTAAACGGGAGCGATGTGAAGATATAATTTTAATTAGATTGTATCTAATTAGTTACATTACAAATTATGTGCAATTATAATAGTAACAATACATACTTATTCGCGATGTAATTATGATTTAATCGATTACACTGTCATTTGATTGAACCCCTGCCTTAGAAAGTGATTCATGATATTCATTTCTTTTTTAGGTCATGATGTTACTCCTGATGGTTGGAGAAGTGCTCGGGTTGTATATGTACGATGTGAGTGTGATCTTTTATACGATATTCAGTCAAGTTATTTGTTTGTTTGAATGGGGTTCAACGTCTTCTTAATATCAAAAGTAATGATAAGACGCCATCGAAAAAGTGTGAAAAGAAAGGTATGGATCCAAAATGTTGCATTTTGCGAGAGGTTTCCTCGAAGGTGTTGTGCTCACTAACTTCCGTCATGACATATTCTAGGGGTACAGAGAACGTAATACAGCGTCAATCTTATAATTGTTGTCGCAATGGGTCAAACAAATCATTTTTTTCCCAATGGGATACAATAGGTCAGTTCTTTCCTCGAAACTACTTGGGCGTACAGTATAACGATGTTTATTACTCCACTCCGATCATGTTGTTTTACCAGGTGCAACTTCCTATTTACAGCTTAAGTAATTTTAGGACTTGTCAAATATTGCATGATTGTAAAACAACTCACGTGGTATCAATACATTCGATGAATAGTATTCGACTTGTTTTGAATTAAATTCAGAAATTCTAGCTGAGCAATAAAGGCCCCTGGGTCTCTTTGTTTCTTCAAGGTATATTACATGAATAAATATTTGTGATAGCATACGTTTTTGTGTTGGACTGCCAGTTGCAATTTTAGTATCTTGGGTTTGCCATTATTTTGATGGCAGCACCAATCACTTTGTTAATAACATATACACTTGAGTAATACGATTGAAATTTACCAGTACTCCTCTAAGAAATATTTCAAATTCATAAAATTTCCTCTTTTGTTTCAAGATCAGTTGAGACATATCATGATTTCCAACTTTTTGACCTCTATTAATAGCGACGAGTCCTAGAAGGATAAAAACATGTATATGGTGCAGTGCAGTTAATCCTTTGTATACTGTATTGTATCTATTACTAAATTTTAAGATGTAATCACCTATTCAATTGATATGTGATAAGAGCTGCCCAAATTTCTGATGTAGATCTCGATATTACCGACACATTTAATGGTGTACATCTTCATTTTATCTTTGATGTTGCAGGACAATATCGACCACCAAGGAACAGAATTTGTACTGATGTTCCTTGACAACATCAAATCAGATTTTCCGCTGTACCTTATTCTCACTACTCCGCTGACTGGACGAGTTTCTGTGACGATACAAACACCACTTTTGAATACTACGGACAGGGTAGACCTGACTGTATTTGTATTTTGTCACAACACAACATTGGTTTCTCTTCCAGTGGCACTCCGTAATGAAGGAACTGCAAAAACAGCGAATTCGATTTTGGTAAAAAGTGACGCTGTTATTGTCGTGTATGGTTCAAATTACCAAGAACACAGTATGGATCATTTCATTGTCTATCCAGTCAAAAGTCTGTACAACACATACGTAGCGACTAGTATCCAATCCCAAAGTAACTCTCTGGTTGGTGTTGTAGCTCTTGCAGATGCGGCTGTATCCTTCAGCCTACCAGAAAATGTCAACGTTACACACAATGACATCGTCTTCTCTACCACACTGAACATTGAATTGGTCAAATATGAGGTATTTCAGATCAGCACCTGTGACGTGACTGGGACAATCATTACAAGCAACGTAACATTGGCCGCATTCAGTGGTCATAGATTTAAAAAAATGATACAACAGGAGACCACATCGGCGTCATGTTGCCACCACTTCATGCATTGTCACAGACGTATTTTGTTATTCCGAAACCGTCATACAAAGTTCCAGAGCTCGTAAGAGTTGTTAGCATCGTTTCAAACACAGAAGTGAGAATCAATGATGGAACTAGCATGCAGGTTGTTCTGTTGGAGAGTGCAGGGTCATTCCACGAGTTTTCACTAACCTCTGAATCCGGTGTTATTATTACAGGCGATGATAAAATTCAAGTTGCACAAATCAGTTTATCAGATAGCATTGGTGGCGGTTATGGAGATCCATGTATGTCACTAGCAATTTCACCAGAAGACTTCCTCACGGAGTACGTCTTTTTTGTACCAGACACAGAACTTTTTGCTCTAGTCCAGTCAAATTTGGTCGTCATATACAAGAAAGATGCAAAGGTCAAATTGGATGACGTATATCTACCCAATAATACTGCAGTGATTGACATAGCGGACAGCGATTTCATTTTCGCGGAAATAGAGGGCATATCTCCTGGTACTCATACCCTTACAGGGGGCGACTCTGGAACACGATTAGCGGGGATCTTGTATGGCTATGGCATTCGCAATCAATACCAAATGCCTATTGGTCGCAATCTCGGAAAACTTTCAGCACAGGTATGTGAAAATGTGTTAAAACAAATAGGATGATTACAAAGTCGGCAACAGATCTAGCACAGGGAGGCAAATACACCAATACACCCTGCCCCCAGCACAACTCCCCCCCCCCCCCCCCCCCNTAAATTACCTTAGCTGTTTTGTTTGTTTGTTATACGTTTAATGTCTTTCCAAAGAACCATGGTCATAATACGACGGTTGCCTAAGAAGACACTGCCTAAAAGAGAAAGTAGGAAGAAAATGAACAAGACAATTAACCCGGTCCTGTGATCTTGAATGTGAACGAAGGTCATTCATTTGAACAAACTTGGAAGCCCTTCATGCCAACATCTTTCCTGTCAAATATCATCACCCTGGACCTTTTGGTTATACAGAAAAAAGTCGTTTAAAGGTTTTCAAGACAAATTACCCCTGTTACCTTGAAAATGGACGATGGTCATTCGTTTGAACAAACTTGGTAGCCCTTCTTCCCCACATGCTTCTGGCAAAATATCATCACCCAGGAGCTTTTGGTTATTCAGAAGAAGTTGTTTTAATATTTTAACATATTTGACCCCTGTGACATTAAATATGGGCAAAGGGGATTCATTTAATTCAATTTGGTAGTAGTTCATCCCAGCATGTTATTGGCCAAATATCATCATCCTGGGCCTTCTGGTTAATCAGTAGCTTTTAACATGTTTGACCCCTGTGACTTTGAAAATGGGCAAAGGTCCTTTGTTTGAACAAACTTTGTAGCCTTTTATCCCAGCATGCTACTGGCCAAATAGCATTAGCATGAACCTTTTGGTTTTACAGAAGAAGTTGTTTAAATAGTTAAACCTATTTGACCCAGGTGACCTTGAATATGGGTGCAGGTCATTCATTTGAACAAATTCGTAGCCCTTTATCCAAGTTTGCTAATGGCCAAATATCAACACCAAGGAGCTGTTGGTTATTTAGAAGAAGTTGTTGAGAGATTTTAACATATTCGACCCCTGTGACCTTGCGAATGGGCAAATGTATTTCATTTGAACAAAGTTGGTTGCTTGGTTTGGTTTGGTTTTATTTTGTTTAACGTTCTATTAACAGCTAAGGTCATTTAAAGACGGCCTCCCCTGTGTGCAAGATGCATGCGTGTAGTGTATGTGCGTGTATTTTGGGAGGCTGCAATATGTAGCACTTCATCCCAGCATACCACTGGCCAAATATCATCAGCCTGGGCCTCTTGGTTATTCAGAAGAAGTTGTTTAAATTAAAAAGTTGACACCGGACGGACGACGGACGCCGCACCATGCCACAAGTGAGCTAAGTGGGCTAAGTCAGCTAAACAGATCTAATGTGTTGCAATGGGGCAACAGATCAATTTTGGTATATTCATTATTCTTTTTGTAGTGAAAGTCACAGAAGAACACCTCCCCCCTCCCCAACTCTGCAGGTGGCTCCCACACTTGTCGCCATTTTACGATACACACACAGTAGGATATATCAGGGTTCTTCTTGGTTCCTCCAATGTCACCTAAACAGCAGACAGGGTTGAAACCAACCTCGAAATAAAGCCATGGGGTTTGGGGCACGTTAGTTGTCCTGACGATCATACAGTTGTTGAATACATCAGGAATATTCTTTCCCCAAACCTGCACAGGTGACCTTCCGCTGCGTCCGTCGTCATTCCGTCAACTTTCTGGGAAGCTTTACAACCAACAAACTATGCATAACAAATAGCTGCTCACTTTTTATTCACTCGTATTAACATCCAATGTAAAAGTATCTCTCACTTTCCTACCCTTCCTATTGGCGGTGTCTCCCAAAACAAATCCTGCCAATGAAAGGAAATTAGTGCTGACAAGACTACCGTTTGACCTCTGCCTGTCCGGTAAGATATTGTTTTTTTGGAGGTTGAACGTCCTCGAAATAGCTAATGTTATATAGACTCGGTTTCCTAGGAAGTTTAAAATATGAATATGAAAGCTTTATTAACTGGTATTTTTACTAACATTATGGGATGTAATACCACTCCATGACACACAGCTAACATATGACTGGGGCAGAGGTTATCATATTTGTCACTAGAAATCTTACAAGCATGTAATGTACTAGCTTCATGGTCAAGTAAGAAGTAGTTCTCAATACATGGCAATTGGACTTTGTAGTATCTTTAATACTTATATAAAATCTAAAAGTAAGTTGTTGACAAGCAAGAGCTAGGAAATAAACGGTAGTCAGGAGCAGAGAGAAACAGAAAGATCCTAACTATTGCAATGGGTGCAGCAGATTTATTTTTTTCGCTTCTGTATTCAAAAAAAGAGGACACCAAAGCAAATCCCCAATAATTCTGCAGAGGGTTCCCACATGAGGGGGTAATCATTAGTCGCCTCCTACGATACCGATCGCCAACCTCCCTGCAGGTTGTTATGTATCAGTCGTTATTTCCTATAAATAACACCACAAAAAAAATATCGTTTGCAATGCATACAAAGTACCTCAGTATTTACCTTTTTAGCTCAACCGGCCCGAAGGAACATGGTGAGATTATGCCGTTCCAGGGCGTCCGTCGTCGTCCGTGCGTCAACTTTTAGTTCAAAACGCTTCTTGTCTTGACCAGCTTTTTGGTCTGGAGCATTCTTGGGCAAAAGGAACTCCGTTTTGTATAAACGAAGATTGTGGACCCTTGGGTGCAGCGGGTTGGGCTAAATAGGAGCAATTTGAGGTTTAAACCTGTAAAATCCGTCTTCCTCTGTACCATTTGATAATCTTTATTCAAATTTGGTCTGAAGCAACCTTGGGCAAAGGGGACTAAAGGTGGGGTCAACATTTGGCCCCCACTTTGATTACCTTTATTATTTTGCCATATGTAGATACATACAAATGATCAATAACTGCATAAATTATTATTCATAATTGTTACTGATAACCGTAGTGGACCTCCTTGTATAACACCAGATTGAGTGACGGGGGAATCCTAACAAAATGACTGATAAATATCACAGGCAAATGTTAATTTGGAAATGAATTATGATAGTGTATAGTATATAAAATTACTGTTATTTTGAGCGTAGTGATGATTTTAATTGGAAAAACATGCAAACTTTTCAAAAAAATAAAATAAAACTAACATTGTCAACTTGCCTTTATATAGTTACAATGATATTCTATACTTTAAACTTATTTAAAAACTTCCGATATATGTATTCTGTCTACAGACTAATTTTTATGTATTATCAAAATCGTACTTTTTTAGCACGCCAAATATGATCAATGCCCAATTTCACATAACCTTGAATATTTGACTATCAATGTTTACTATGATAAATACCGATATATTTTCTGTTTTTGTATCATACTGAAACACTTTATTATGTTTTCAAGGTAAGTGACGCAGTAATAACTCATGAGTATGTATTATGTCATAGTAGTCTTTCCTCTGAAGAACTACTATATGATTGAGATTGTGTTACAGACAAAGCTATGTAATTATCTAAAAACAAATAAAATAATCTTAATAACAGAACTAGTATACACTTTATCATACCCCCGAAACGAAGTTAGGGGTGGGTGTATACTGGAATCAGCTTTTTCTATCCGTCTATCTCTCAACTCATTCTGACACCTTAAGTTGTGCATCCAGGTATTATTTTTTCACCCTGACCTTTTTCCCCTCAAAGTTATGCCTTGTGTTGAAAATCCTTGTCTGGCCATGTCCTCTAAAACTAAGGGGTCAATTTCAACGATGGTGTGCATCCAGGAAATCTTTTTTCAATCTGACCATTGTTTTACGGAGTAATGGCCCTTTGTTGAAAAACACTTGTCCAGACAACTCCTCCAAAGCTATGGGGCCAATTTCAACGGAAGTTTACAAATATGGTAACTGCCCCGTGACATTGTGCGTCTACGAAGTATGTTTTCATTCCGACCCTTTAAAAAGGAACAAATTTTGTCTGCCTCTTAAACTTCTGGGCCAATTTCATGAAAGCTTACAGATATGGTAAATACCCCCTGATGTTTTGCATCAGGGTAGTATTTGTCCATATCGACCCTTTTAAGGAGTTATTGGCCTTTTAAAAAAAATCTTGGCTTGATAACTCATCCTTAACTACTAGAACGATTTCAGCAAAAGTGGGTCCTCTAGGTTAACAAGATGTGGTATGGAAGTATGTTTTCAGTGACAACGCCTTTAGATTACAGTTCTAGTTTATATAGGAGCAGAGGTTTTAGTTAATCTTTGGCTTACAGTTCTATTTATTATTTCTGTAGCCTTTTGACCATTCATTACACAAAATATGAAGGGATATTACGCTATTTCATATCGTTAACTCTAAAATAATAAAGCAGGGAAAGATACCCTTGTCTGACTCCCCATACATTTTTTTTTTATTTCGGCACATTTGGTTTTTAAACTTAAACTCATTTACATGAACAACCTTCTTATTAAATATCAACACCCGATGACCTTTAGTCATTAAGAAACACAGGTTAAAGGAAATGTTGAAAGAAAGCTATGTTTTTCTTTTTTTTGAACCAAAAGTAGTATACGACAAATTTACCGGTGTACAATTTTTTTTTAAATTCCTTATGTTGAAAGATATTATTGTTAGCCAACGTTTTAACAAGTAAGACAAATAGACTGGTTTTAGAACTATTTGAATTTACGTGTAAAAAATGGAAAATTTCTCAAATTTTTCTGCTTTATTCTTAAATAAAAAAAATAAAAAAATAAAAAATCTTTTTTGAAATAGTGTAAAATAAACTGCACACGATGATGATATCATTTTATAGAAATTGTGCCATTTAAATGCTCTAGGAGGAATTGTATTACTGCACATTTAACACCCACACAGGTGGAAGTCAAGGAGGTCCCATTAATCATCAAATAAATTCTGAAACTAACTGTTCCTGATTTAAGCTTCCTATATCCATACCTGTTTGGATTTATCTTTTTTTGAAATTCCAAGTGGGGGCCGACGCTAATGTTAAATCTCCATAAGCGTTGGCCATTCTGGTTGCAGAGAGGCAGGCCCAATAGGGGAATTTGAGGTTTAAATCTTTAAAATCCTTCCACTTCTGTAACATACGATTTTTTCGATCGAAATTTGGCCTGGACTATCCTTTGGCAAAGGGGACTAAAGTTTGTAAAAATGGAGATTATGGTCCCTCGGGGTGCAGAGAGGCGAGGCCAATGTGAAATTAAGGTTTAAATCTTCAAAATCCTTCTTCCGTATAATTCGAGGGATCTTATTCAAACTTGGCCTGTAGTATCCTTGGGCAAAGGGGACTACATTTTGTATACACGGAGGGTGTGGCCCTTCTGGGTGTAGAGGGGTTGGCCCAATAGGGGAATTTGAAATATCCAAATATTTTGAAAAAGTTGGAATATTAAATAAAAATATTTCACATGGTTGCTAAATTATCGATGTGAGTTATACACGACCTCTGGACCTCTTGTTTGTTTATAACGTTGCATGTCTCTATATGATCTGACCGATAAGATTTTAATATTTCTTGATAGTAAATAGTATAGTAAAACAGAGAAGACATAGTATTGATGCCATCGTCTTGACAAGTTTTATCTTTTACTTTCTTTCAGATCGGTGTGTCAAAGTCATTACTTTCAGGTTTGTATTTCATACCAAGTTGGATCATCTTATTCCGTAGAGTTTATCTTGTCAGAAAGCATACCAACTTTAAATAATACTAGACGCACCTTCTTATGATTCGTCTACAAATAACTATATTAAGATGTTCAATTTGTTTTGTTTAACGTCCTTATTACATCTAAGGATTTTAATAAAAACTTTGTTTACATCATTCTTGGGCAAAGCGGACTCAATTTCTATGGCCCTATTTAGGGCATATGGGCGGCACAGAAAAGGGGAAATTCGTAACGATTGGAGGGATTTTAACCAAATTTAACCCAGAGCATCAATTTGCAAGGAGAACTATATTTTGTTAAAACGGAGAAATGTGGTCATCCTGGGGCAGATGGCTAAGAGTTTAATAGTGGAACATACTTTAATAAATATTTTTAGTCCTTCTTCTTTCGTACGAATGAAGGAATTTATATCTTAGGGAAAATGTGATCAGCATTGGCTTAACTTAGGGTCTTGCCCCATGGAGACAGAGGGGAGGGGTACATAGGCGGGAACATAGGGGTAAGTTTAAGTGTTTAAAATCCTTATCCTTCTGTTTAAGTGGAGGGATTTTAACCACATTTTGTTGCGCGTCTTTGGACAAGGGGACTCTTATATAAATGAAGAGTTTGACCCTCTTTTGGGAATAGGGTCGAGGTCAAATAGGGGAATGGGGGTAAATCTTGTTCTTCTTCTTTTAGAATGCAGGGCGGGGCATACTAGGGTGAAACAGAGAAAAATTTTAAACTATTTTCCTTCTGTAGGAAAGGATAAATTTTAATCAGATGTGGGTTAGAGCCGTCCATGCACAATCATGATTCAATTTTGTGTAAATTGAGGGTGTGGTTCCATTGGGGACAGAAGGGCATGACCTTATAAGGTACATAGATCTTCACCAAACTTGATATGCAATATATTCACCCGAATCGGATTCAATGTTGGACAAACTATATACCCCCGTATCAATGTGGATCCAACAAGGTAAGGGCGGATGCAATATTTGTAAATGTTTAGAGTAGATTATTTAATGAGAGTATTTTGCCATGATTGATAAATAATTAAGGGAGGTATACCGACCCCTAGGCGTGTTGTTGGAATTAAAAGTCAGTTTCTGCTTAACCGATTTCGCAAAAACTTAGTGGAAATGATCAGGATGATGTGTCCCGAACTATTACTTTTTTCTGGTGCCGATTTTAAGTCTAATAGCCGCGACTTCACAAAATTTGAAAATCTCGAGCCGATTTGAAATCCGGTATGGCCACCTGGGGCATTTTTTAAATCCAATAGGAATACCTGCACAATTTCAATTGAAAGCCACAGAACGTCTTTGGATTCGCTTTCTCCTTGCAATATATGGGATTTCCCTAACAACTAATCTCTTTCACAAATGCTAAGTGGGAATGATCAACACATGGTCCTTGCATTTTGAAGCTCACAGCAAAGTAGCTAGAATGTTCTCGTTTCCTTTGATGTATCAATCTTGCTTTACTTTACTGTTTCAATTTCAGACAAATTCCGAGGTACCGAAATGAGTTCACGTTTCACAGATTACCTGCCATTCGAAGCTCCATTCTTAAACATAGCGACAGTCTCCAAAATAGAATGTGCTTTGCTTTGTTCGGAAAGCAGTACTTGCTATATCCTGGCTATCAAGCTGGCGGAAGGGTCTGTATGGGTAGAATGTCTCCTGTATACCATTGCAGCAGCCAGTTCACAGCTCCATTCGGCTCCGGGATACACACTTTACCGGCGTTTGAAATGAAACAAACTTACTGTTGGCAATTGCACAACACCACGTGATTTTCTATTCTTATAACATTTACCGTGTATTTTTATTTTATTTATTTAGTATATTTTAACTAGTCATTGAGAGTAAAATTGCAATTTTGTCTGTCATCTTTATGGGTTTTCTTTTGTATTGCGTTCGTTTGCTTTTTAACAGTTTTACACAAACCTATTATTTACCACTTCTGCATAATAGGGTTTTTTCTTCTTTGTCTTCTGCCAACGGGATATTTACAAAAACGAATTTTAAGTTGTTGCATCCAACAAAAACTTTGATCTTTAAAACTTTGATTTTTTTTTCCATTCCACCTTCACTTTCTTATCGGGGGTGTCTCCTATGTCGGATTGTTTTGATTTGTCTTTTTAGGTTTTTACGACCTGTCGACAATGCGAGTAATTAAGGGCTACACAACACTATGAAAATAGAAATAAAAAATACACTAAACTCAAAATATAAAGGTTAAGTTGTATCAAAGACGGACAGGGGATCCCAGATAGATCTTGGTGCCCACCATTGTACCATCTTCATTGGTTTATGCCAGTTTGATCTTTTCTCTTATCTGTTTGATCAAATCATATAAACAGTAAATGCACCGTTTCATGTATTTACTAGTACAATTATTTAAATGTAAGAGAAATATATCCAATCATTACAACATCAGAAAGATCACATTAGTACTTCCTGTAGTAATCCAGTTTTTAAGATCACTCTTCTAAGTAAACATGCACAACTACAGAACAAAGGGAAACCTTCATATCAAATTTGAGAAAGATCCCTCCAGAACTTACAAAGACATAGTGAAAAAGCAATAACGTACATTCACCGTCAAAATCCAAGATGGCCGCCTGTCAGCCATTTAGTTAATTCAACTAATCTCAAAAGTTACTATGCACAATAACAGATCAAGGGGAACCTATATATACATGTCAAAGAGAAAGATCCTTCCAAAACTTCCTGTTAAATAGCGATAACAAACATTTACTGTCAAAATCCAAGATGGTCGCCTGTTCGCCATTTTGTTTATCTGAGAGTCTCAGAAGTTAACATTCACAACTACAGATCAAGGTAGAACTACATATCAAATCTGAGAAAGATCCCTCTAACATTTCCTGAGAAATAGAGGTAACAAACAGCGACTGTCAAAATCTAAGATGGCCGTATGTCTGCCATTTTGTTCCTCAAATCAGTCTGAAAAGTAAACATGCACAAAAACAGACAAAGGGGAACCAATATGTCGAATTTGAAAACGATCCCTCTTAATCTTCATCAGAGATAGCGATAACAAACATTCACTGTTTAAATCTTCAAAAATATGTGGTCCCTACATATTTCAATATTGGAAGTAGAAAACTACAAATACTACATACAAGATTGAGATTAGAATGTAGTAATTTAAAACAACACCTATATTTAAGGACTTTAGAGGTATGTTAATGCGGACTAGTCGAAAAGACTTTCCTCTTTTTACTATGTAATAATTACTCAAAGCTGAATCACTAACCTTACCGAAAATACTTTATTATGGGAAAGTACTGAATATTCAATACAGAAGAACCAAAAAATATTTTTGTCAGTTCAGAATTTTATCAAACGGTTTAGTTAATCTTTCTTTCTACACAATTTCATATACGACCTTATTATTGTAATTATTATTCTTAATAGATTCTACATCAATTATATATTGTAATCGAAAGTGCTTATTATTGTATTTTATATTCAAAATATATTATATCGAGACGTATGAGTATCATATATACATGTGGGTGTATGAATGTTTGAAAATGGGCATGCGTACGTGTACGAGCGTGTCATCGCCCGTCTGTCCAACCATGGGTGTGTAAGTGCAAGTGTGCGTTCACCTCGTTAACAAAACGTAAAGCACTGGGGTTAATATGTTTCAATTTTAATGATCACCACGTGTGAATATCTTTTAAGTAAATTTTTATTTTATTCAAACTTATATTGTAGTTAGGGTGTCAACAGTCTCGTAGAAGTATTTGCCTGATATATATACTTAGGAGAGGAATTAATATACCAATCTCTGTGTAATGATATGTCATGTAATTAACATGTTTGAATATTGAATGAAATACTGTTTTAACTAACAATAAAACACATTGGGACACCAAAAACGAGATTAAGAGTGTTATGTGAAAGAGACAAAAAAGGGGGTACTTAACGTGACTGATATAGATATGATATGTAGACAACAAAATGTGAACAATATATACAAAGAGAAAAGGGCTTTGGAAGCCTTCGGTAGGTATTGATAACAAACATAGAGCAAACAAGTTTGGTGTAATATTCTGTTTATGCAAATATAGCATTACAGCCTCTCTTGCTCTGAGTTAACTACCTGAAATCTATAAATAGTCATAATTAGCAATTTTTGTTTAAGTTGTTATCCAAAACATCCCGGAAAGATGATATCGAAAAACAAATGTTATTTGGCAATATCAGTATTGTCTTCCAAAAGAAATTAATTATTTTTCAACAATTGTCAAAATCGTGAATTACTAAAATTAAGAACATATTAGAACATTAGAGACAACTGTATTAAAACATATTTATAAGCAAAGTAGACTGAATGTATCAGATGAGATATTGTATGTCTTTAAAAGAAAAAAAATTCCCGGAATAAGATTATAAAAAAATCTCTAATCCATCAAAATTCTGTCAAATTCTCTATGACAGGTAACAGAGGTTACTCATTCGCCCCTCAAGTTTGTCTTGATATTTTGCCAAGTACTCCCGCTGTATTGGTACTGCTTGTAGATGAGCCTTTCTTTCTCGTTTTGCGGTCTCCATTCTGAAGCAGGAGTCAATGACGCTCTCAGTCTCTAAAATATACCGACGCCACATTTTTTTTTTAATTGTTTGAAGCATTATATGACTGAGATACAGTCGAAAATGAAAACGTTATCGGTTTCTTCTAGATCGTTACGTTCAAACTGATGTACTATACAATGCTACAATATATGATGTCGAAAGTTAAGATTATTTAATAATTGAACTGCTTTCAGTTCGCATTCACAGGCAATATGAATTCAAACTGGACAAAGGCAATTTCAACGTTATGTTGAATTTACCTTTGTCCAGTTGGAATTCATATTGCCTATGAATGACAACAGAAAGTAGTTTAATACTTATATTTAACATTTTCGGGATCTGTTCATCTCATAAAAAAAACACAATTTCACTTATACTTATATCGTGTATGCTTGTTCAGTGAATAGAACAGCCATCGCCCGGGTAGGGTCAGTGGTATCCAACGTAACAATTATGATGTCAACGATCGGTCTATTGCATTCATAACCTATATGAATGCCAAGTGAATTTGGTAGGCAATGCCATTTGATGGTAAATATTTTTTATATTAACGGCTAAACTGATGAGCTGTTTTCAGTTCGTTTTAAACACACCTGCATGAATGAGCCAGGTGATTGTAGCAGTCGTTTGACCATAACGATGGGTATTGGTAATACCAGAAACAAGGCAACAAACATTCCAACAATACCAAGGTAATCCGGATAAACATATCCCCGGTATACAGGTCGTTCAAATTTTAATGCTACTCCGATGCCTGCAATCTGAAAAGAATTTGGGGAAAAATTATTGAATAATATGAATTTGAATTGTTCCATTGAAAAAATATAAACTGTTACTGAGAAATGATTTCAAGACCAGTTTGCAAGTAATAGCTTCACGCGGTTGGCGTAACCATTAAACACCCCTAATTGTCCATGTTATGTTTGTTCGGAAAATGAAGGCATGTCCATAAGGAGAAAAGACCTAAGATAAAAGGAATAGAAACGAGTAAATTTGAAGAACAAACACGTTCCCAAACTTATTAAGCCGTATAAATCAAAGAAGTGGAGCAGCTTTAAAATAAAAAATATCTAGACAAATGTATATGTAAATAGCACTGAAAAAATAAGTGCAAATCCTTTACTAACAACTTCGCAAGAAGGGGCATAACTCCTCCAATAATAGCAGGATTGAAAACTGTCAGTGCATATGCACAATGTTACATTGTTATGACAGTGTCAACAGGAAAATTCAGATGAAAGTTTAGTTCCGCATACTGTTTGATTTGTCTTACGTAGTTCAAGTAAGGTTGGTATAAACGTATATCTTGATTCCTACCAGCATCAAAGTTGGTATGATGAAACTCCACGAGACCCTGACAAACACTGGAATTGACCTCCCAGTCATCAATTGGATATCTCGACTCATTCTCTCCGCGCCTTTAATTGAGAAAAGTAAAATGACAAAACTTAGCACATATCGTCAAATACACAGAATTCCAAGCCTTCACAAAATGATAACATGAACTGCTGAGATAACGCAACAAAACGATACTTTTTACTGCTTACACATACATATACAAAGACAGCTATCCTTTTTTCTATAAATAATCCTAATCAATATTTTGGTGAAAGTTTTCTTACTGAAATTCAATTATCTAAAAAAACACCATCTAAAATTTCATGCAAATCTTTTGATTCAAAAGTTACATGTACGCCTTTGATATGGAATATTGATAAACAGCAAAAATGTTAAAATTATTACCATATATCCAACCGGCGATGATACATTCTAGAAACGCAACCAGGAATATAATAAAGGCCGACAGATACCAATCAATGAACTGGAAAATATATACTCCACCCTGAAAAAAAATGATGCAGTTACCAAGAGTTATGCTATTTTTTTTTTTATATATTTATGTTTTTATCTATTAAACGCGGGAGATTTGTGAATCCTTATGAACGTTTAGTCTATTTACAGCAGTTATGAAACCTATTTATCTATATAAATCACTCTTCTAACTTTACCAGTACGTATCCCACAAACTTTCTGTTTGTCAAATGCATTGATATTGGGTTTAGATGTGGTATTATGACAATTACATGTTGCAATTAAGTCTCAGTTCACCTTTTTGTAATAGGTTTTAGTCGGTATCCTTAAAAGTTTGCAGGTATGAATCGTGACTAAATGCGAACCAAACAGTTTTCTTTCCAAAAATATTCATGTTATTTTCAAGAAGTCACTTTTCCTTCTTGAGATCCTGTCACATATGCCAAAACATACGGGAAAAGGTTAAGCGCATTCGAAACATTCTTAAAATTGCGAACACTCCAGGGAAGGTCTTACTAGCGCAGGGATTCACCAACTCAAATCCTAAAATTGTAGCTTTTAGAGGCAAATGAATCTAGATTGATTTTAGTTAAGTTTTATTTTGTTTAATGTCCTGTCATATCAACATCCTAGGTCATTTAAGGACGTGCCTCCTTGTGTGCTATGTATGCGTGCTTGCGCGAGTTATGCAGGAGGCAGGGTATGTTGGTGTATTTCAGGTAAAAGGTATACAGTTGTATAAAGATGATAAATTCCTTCCCTAGAAAATGAAAATAATACGTCTTGGATTTTATATATTAATCCTTCAGTTGGCAGACATTATTTGGTGACAAAACCAAATTATGCATATATTTACCTCGCGAGTTTATACAGGTGAACACATAAAATGGCGTTCGCCCAGGTGAGGAAGGCAACGACTTCCGTCCCGAGGCCAGGCCATAGCAAAATCCTTTAAAATGGAAGTTCTTTTCTGCTCAACGTTCAGCGTTTTAGTAATGGCACAACCTGCTCACCTGTTGTCAGTATAATGTGACCAGGCGAAATGCTGTGCTGGGTGCTTTCGGCGTAGTATTTAGGTGAGATAGCACTATAAAGACGGCATCAGATCCGCGCTATTACAAGGAGGCAAGTACACCAACACACCATGTCTCCGACACACGTGCACGCATACACAATACACGTGGAGGCACGTCCTTAAATTACCTAAGATGTAAATGGGCCGTTCAACATAACAGGAATGGTATGTTGATGTATGTTTTAGAGAGGATAGCTTAATTCTCAGTTAGCAAATAATCAAACTAGTTGTTGCGACATGACTTAGTGCTGAACGTTAAGAAGGGAGTAACAAATACCATTTTTTCCGTTACTTAAGTATGCATATTTCCTACCCGATTTGGACGAGCCCTCGGGTCCCTGCAGGTAGGGCGTAAGAATTATACCTGCTGCCCCCATTGCATGATCGTAAGAGGCGACTAAATTTGGGATCATATTTTTTTCTCTTCTTTCTAAACAAATTTTTTCTTCCTAATGTCTCCCTTTACAATGCCTTACTTTTGGCCTTTAGTTGAGCGTTCGCCGGTGTAAGGAATGCTTTGGGTTCAGTCCCCTGGCCGAGACATACCAGTCTAAAAAATGGTAGTTTCTACTCCTGCTTAACGCTCAGCAATTTAGAAGTGGGACGACTGGTTCGACCGTTGTCAGTATAATGTGTCCTGATTGGTGTCTTCGGTAGTATGTTTCAGTGAGGTAGCACTATCCAGTTGGCATCAGTTCCGCGCTATTACAAGCAGACAAACACGAACATATCGCTGCCTCCCAAAATACACACGCATGAATCTTGCATACAGGAGAGGCCATCCTTTAATGACCATAGCTGATTATAGGGCGTTAAACAATACCTAACTAAACCAAACGAGCCCTCGATACTTGGGCTAACAGTGAGGTATTTCAAAGCAAGGCACTAGGATACAAAACGGCGTTCAATATTTTTTCGAACGCGTCGGTTTCAGTTTTAAAACCTGTGTAACAAATAATACCAATAAATGTATATTAATGACAAGGAGACTATCGGGTTATTTGTTGCATTTCACCAAAATCGACATACTCGATAATGCAATATTTTACTGTAGGGTAAAATATCCAACAGATGTGGACACGGTTTTCAAACAACCCTAGCTGTTGCGGGAACGCATAACTCGAAACGACCATCCGGCCACCAACATAAAATTAGTTCCGACGATTAATACCTTGTAATAGTACTTATATAAATTTACTCACCTGTGTAGAGAATATTGTGCCAGTAGAAAAGTACAGTGCAAAAACAGTGGCAATTACGAGGTGCTTCCGTCTGCCAAGAGTTTTGGGGAAAATGTCCATTAAAGCACTTATCAACGTCTCCAGGCACCCTAACTAAGGAGAGAAACAACGAAATTAAAAAAGGAATGTTCTTGAAATACTGTGAAGTCACACAAGGAAAAGCAAAAAATCATCACGAAACTCTTTTCCAAAACAGCTTTGTAAAATAGAAAACACCTAATTTTCACTTTGTAAAGCATATGATACCACAGTGCACTTTGGTATGCTTCACAGGAAGTAACAGGAAGCACTCGACTATAAAACAACCAACAAAGATCTAATGAGAAATTTTATGAATCAATAAAAAAATAACAAAAACAAACTTCTGCATACAAAAAAACACCAGACATTTTGTTGTGCACACAATACACCAGAAGTTTGAATCGTAGCTCGGGAATGGTCCGCACCGCAATATATCGTACATGTTTCCCCTGCCCGAGATAATAAAACACAGCTGATGACGGATTTGGCTTGGTTTGATTTAGTATTGTTTAACGTCCTATCAACAGCTATGGTCATTTAAGGACGGTCTCCCCTGTGCGCGAGATGCATGCGTGTAGTGTATGCGTGTGTGTTTTGGGAGGCTGCGATATGTTAGTGTTTGTCTCCTTCTGATAGCGCGGAACTGATGCCGACTGTATAGTGCTACCTCATTGAAACACACTGCCGAAGACACCCAGCAGGACACCCCACCCGGTCACTTTATACTGAAAACGGGAGAACCAGTCCACTCCTAAATTGCTGAGCTTTAAGCAGGTGTATAAACTACAATAACAGACTCTGTTATGTTTCGGCCAGGGAACAGAACCCAAACCTTCAACTAAAGGCCAAAAGTGAGGCATTGTCAAGGGAGACATTAGGAAGAAGAAAGCTGTTTAGAAAGAAGAGAAAAGATAAAATCCCAAATTAGTCGCCTCTTACGATCATGCAATGGGGGCAGCAGGTACAATTCTTACGCCCTACTTGTGACGGACATCGGTCTGTTGCATCAAGCACAACATACCGGTAGGCGTATACTGATGTCTTCCTTAGCTATTCATTCGACATTTCATAACTTCGTGTGCTTAACGACTTGGAAAGTACATTATACTAGTTCAGATTAAATATTAATCATTACCTGACTGTCGAGGCCAACCATAAACAGCATAGAGAAGAAGATAACGGCCCATATTTGAGGCAGAGGCAGGCGGGTGAGAAACTCTGGGTAAACTAGAAACACGAGGCCGGGACCTGTAACAGTTCATTGTTTTATAATACCTACTTAATAATATATTATAACTGCATCGTGATCTCTTCACCATTAATATGTCTCATTTCAATACTTAATTATAACAACAATGGTAGATTAAAACACATCTGGAAATTTTAAACTCTGGAATTTTGTGTCATTTTGATACTTGATGTTCCTTTACTATTAACTTAAAGACTCGTGTACCGATGCCCAAAACTGTAAAAGAAAATCTAGCATTACTATAGCTTTGATAATTAATCATTTGTGGAAAGAAAACCTTGAGTCTTGAAGACATTTTTTTTAAAGTAATAAAGATGAAATAAAGTATTATCAATAAGCGTATTCTGATTAGAATAGATTCTACACTGGTTAACTTATCCTGATATTTTTTATTTATTCCTTACTTTCCATATGGAGTATTTTAGTGTGAATATAACAGAAATCATCACACAATAGCCTGTACTTGATTTGCATACTCCAAACATCATACTCTCGTCACATATCATGATCCATGTCGGTAGCTGGTCAAAGATTGTTTCCTGTACTATTTAATAATTTAGTAGCAAAGGGACATTGATAAAGAAAGGTGATTGAGGGTGTCTAGGGTGACAAAATCCGTCAGAGCTGTTCATTAAATGTAACTTGTGTCTCGTGTATATGATTCTATGTTAACATTTCCACTGAAATTGTTTGATTGTATTAGTTATTGTGCTATCATTAGCATTGTTCAATATTTGATTCCATTTTATTTCTTGTCCAAAATGTTCTTCTCATTTAGTTTCTCATTTTGGCCTGAAAGTTGTATTATTATTTAGTATTTTCTGTATTTCAAGTTTGTTGATTTTAAACCCTCATTTTACAGATTTGAAACCGTTAATAACAAATATCCTTAGAGATCCTTAACTGTCATTCGGACGAAAATTCGAAACCTACACTATAAAAACAATCATGACATATTTGAATCTTCGACGATTCGTTAAAATCATTTATAAGCTATTTTCTCCAAAATGCATCTTTGTTTGACAGTAGGCTTATAAATGCGACATCACATGATATAGACCCTGGACCGTTTTCTTAACCAAAAGTTCGTTGCATTTCCGTCATGTTTGCGTTGCGTTTGCGTAGACCGTTTGATGTGCGTTTTAGATTTAGCGTTTAATGTGCGTTGAATATGCGTTTTGCTGATTATATAAGGAAACGATCGATGGCTATGTACAGGTTATTTTAAGAATATGCGATTGCTGAAAAGTTTTTATATAAAAGAATAGTTATATGTATAATAAAGTTTGCAAATTAAAAATAAAAACAATATACAAATAAAATAGATAAATACTTGAAATAATTGGTTTGAAGTTAGGCAATGACTTATATTTATATTCGAATATTTGGGCTGCGTCGTGTGCTGATTAATGGATGCACATCTATACACGTACCTTAATTGGCCAGTAAAATTATATGTAGAACATAATTGAGTATTAAGTTATTTGTATATTCTAGATATTTAATTTTCTTACTTATATCATTCTGTTCATATGAATATATGAATAGAATTCAACTAATTCTACAAATACTTCCATCACTGCACGCTTGGACTGATTGTTTCGTAACGACACCAGGGTAGATTGAAGAGAGTCTTATAATTAGTGCGTTTATAAAATATTTATTGTTTTATGTGTGTATGCTTTTTCTTTAATTCTATTGTCTATATTGTGGGTTTTGTTTACGTTCAGATCGAAGTAAGTAAGTCCTGCGCTCGCCTCGCTATATGTATCGGGTGGGGTGGGGTGGGNAGAGGTACATGGCCCTTGACAATAAATAGATTTTGATTACGCCATTAAAAATCATTGAGACCTAGCAATTTTACTACAGTAGTTTTGTATTCGTTTTTTCTTTAGGCTGAATTAAGAGGACACATTATTATTAATTTTTAATATTTAATAAAGTATTTGAAATATTGAAAAGACTAATAAAGAGCGTGATTATGGTTAAACCACGAATGGCAAAAAAGCCACAAATGAAATAAATATCAATAAATAATTATATCGAATAAATAAAACAAATTGTTTCATAAATCAATAAAATGAAATAAAAATAATTGAATTGAATAAATAAAACAAATTAATTAATAAATCAATAATATAAAATAAAAATATTGAAATAAAATAAATGAACATAATTACTAAAACAGTTTACATTTGTAGGTGGTAAAGGAAGTATAGGTGGTGTAGGAGGGTATATGTGGTATGTGAAGTATAGGTGGTATAGTAAGTATAGATGATGTAGGAGGGTATAGGTGGTATATGAAGTAAATGTGATGTAGGAGGGTTTTTGTGTTATAGGAAGTATAGGTGGTATAGGAAGCATAGATGATGTAGGAGGGTATAGTTGGTATATGAAGTAGAGATGATGTAGGTACATGTACTTTGTATTTTTGTATGGGTGATGTTTCATTAGGTGAGACCAGAAAAACATTTCACTGGTCATGGACGTATTACAATAGCTCGTATCAAGCTGCATTGTTTTTTTACCAACCAGATTCCGCCACTTCCGTGATGGAGAGTCCAGCTTCATGTGCCAAGAACCCGAGGATGGAAAAAACCACGAGACCGCACAGACAGTTACTGAATGTGTGAACGGCCACAATAATCATGGTGTTCCTGGTAAAAAAAAGTTTTTTCGTAACTATTTGTAAAACAAATTTATAATCATCGCCAGATTAAACGCTACTTTGTATTTGTTACAAAGAAGTAAAATCCCACATAAAAATGCAAAACGCTTAGGTATGTTAAAAATAATTAAATTGCATATGTTATAATCAGATTACACTAGGAAGTCATCATGCATTGTTTCTTCAATCACGCAATAGGTAACTAATTACATTACGGTCTTAAAGTTAATTTTATGTTCCAAGTATCAACAAATTAAGTTTGTTGTAATATCGTTAATATTTAAAAATAACGTACTACTATATTAAGATATTTAGACCTTGAAGTGAAACAGAGGATAGAATACACAGCGAAAAGAAAACAACAGGCCCATAGGTCCTGTTTCGCTCACTTGGACATTTAAGAAATCAGGACATCACATCATAGTAGCGTTTTAAGGAAAAAAACGACGGACGGACAGACAACGGACGCCGCGACATAAGCTCACCGGTCCTTAGGACCAGAAGAGCTATACAAGTAGAGTATCTTCAAAACTTGATTCCACAAGTAATTTTGGTTTATATTTTATAGAATTAATAAAATGATGCTTGAACTGTTAATAAGACTTACTTCAGGATATTTCCCCGAAACTTGTGGTAGCTGGCAATAGTTGTTACACCACCCCAAACCGGCCCTAGCGAGTAGAATACCTGCATTGCAGCTTCTAACCAAATCTGTAAACAGCAAGATATTTCTGATGTAAAAATTGTTATACTATTGCAAAACAAACATGAATCATGATTGAAAAGATACACCCATGACGTCGTTCATAAGCCTCCTGTATCCTGGTAGCGGTATACAGTAGAAATGACCCGACTCTGACAAACAAGGCACATTTCGAGGAAATGTAAACACAGCGGATTTACCCTACACAACACATGTATACATGTATATATATTTGTAAACTGCATTACATTTACGATACACATAAAGTACTGAGAAGTGTATAAACCTCTTTTTTCTTTGTATGTCACTTGTGTGAAAACCATGGTTACCACATCAAAAATTACCAAAAAATGCAAAAAATGCTATTTTTGACCCAAAATTTGACCCCCGCAACTAGTAATTTTTTCCTAAGTTCTGTCTGAAGTTAAAGATTACCTACCTGGTTGCAGAATTATCTGGGTCCCGGTTAAGTTGTAAAACTTGATTTTTTGCAATTTTGCGTCGTGTGTTGTTGTCAAAATTTTACCTCCTGTAAAGCTAGCTTTTCATGTGTAGGCACTTTTTCGGATTATGGCCAAAATGTTATTCTCGAACCAAAAGAATTTTCTTCTTTTTTTACAAATGTGAAGCTCACATAGCCCACTTCATCATGCTTACACCAATTTTAGTACAGTTTTATTTTTATATTTTTGTTACATATCATTATACAGCGGTAAGTCTTTTAACAAAAATATCACCCATGGCCACAACCCTCTACTGTATACTGCTACCCCTGCTTCCACAGATTCGGAGAAAACATGTACCAGCCGTATCCCATTGCATGTCTGCCGTGTCGTCTGCTAAGGGGACATACATGAAACCCAACTTGTTATGCGGCCCCGATTGCAACACCTGGGATCTTTATCGTTTATTGCTCGCATCCATATTCTTTCTTTCCCCTTTCTTCTTCTATGTCGTCTGCTTAGAAACCAATATTGATCGGCTACCCCAATATTGCACTTTGGCTATATATATCACTTCTATTTCTAATTAACTCTTTTCATAACGATTGTGTCTTTAAATGACAAGCAGCTTCTATTTCTATTTCAGTTCGATTTAAGGAAGCCGTCTACGATCACCAGACCTTCATCACAGATACTGGCCCCCAGCTCGGTGCTTTTAGTCCCCCATCGCTTCTAGGGGGACTATAGGTTTGCACTCCGTCCGTCATTATGTCCGCGAAATTTTCCCGGGACTCATTTTCTATACTATTTCAACTGGAGTAACTAATTTTGGTGTACATGAACATCTTGGGATGGCGGAAGAAGGTCATTGTGACATATGACTTAACCTTTGACTTTGAAAATGTTTGTCTGGGGCATAGCTTCTATACTATTTCACCTGGAGTAGTCAGTTTTGGGTATACAAGGACATCTTCGGATGGCTGAGTGCAAGAAATCGGTCACTGAGTCTGACGTATAACTTGACATTTGACCTTTACTTTTGGAAAGGTTTGACATAAATATATGGTTTGTAAAATAACATATCCGATTGGGGACTATGGGTTGCCTTGCAATACTTTAATTTCTCCAGGTACTACGGTTCTCCTACACCATCAAAACTTCGCACGTCCTTAGATAGCCGTGATTGTTTAACTGAGGTGAAGTACAAACAAAAAGCTCTATTTTATTCTTTCTGCTCAACAAAACGGCGATTACCATGTAAAGCGTTTCATGTATAGCGTTTAATATCCAATAACGCAAATGTAAATTTTAAACTACAAATATTCAAAAATGACATGAAAGTCGCCCAATCTCCTGTACGATCATTTTCAGTATAATTAAATTATTGACCAAGCAACAACTGGCAGATCAATCGAAATGGTCTAACAATTACCAGGTGAATAAACATACGCGCTGTTTAGGTATTAACCATGCCAACACAGGCATGTGGTTGATTTTTATATTTTTTAATATTGAATTTATTTCTGAAAAAATGTCAAGCTAGACTGATAGCAGCAACTAAGAAGGTCACTAAAAGAACTAAATAAACACATTCAGCCATGTAATTAATTATGTTGGGGAAAACATAATACACAAAACCTATTCGCTAATTGGGACCTATAATGGGCAGAACAGGTAACTCGAATATACATGTAACGATAATGCTTTCAGTATTTCGTCTTAGAAGAGAAAAGATCAGAGTGTATTTTATGGTTTGCCGTTAATATTTATTTTTCAAACTCGCCCCTGCAGGTGGGGGATCGCGAAAAAAATATACCTGCTGTTTCTATCTGCGGCGACTTATGTGGGACCCCCGTGCAGAATTGGTGATTTGCTTTGGTGTCCTCTATTTTGGGACACAAAAGCAACCAAAATAAATCTGCTGCGCCCATTGCAATATTTGGAATCTTTATCTTCTACTTCTAACTACCTTTTATTTCCTAGCACTTTATTGGCAACATCTCACTTTTGGCTTCATGGTTGAGCGTTCGCCCAGGTGAGGAAGTAATGGGTTCTGTTCCCAGGCTTGGACATACCAAAGTCCATAAAAATGGTAGTTATTATTTCCTGCTTAACGTTCAGCATTAAGGGGAATGGTTTTGTTTTTTGTTTTTTGTATTGTTTAACGGCTCATCCACAATGTCGCAACAACTGGTTCATCCGTTGTCTGTATAATGTGACCGGGAGGAATGCTGTGTGGTGCCTTCGGCATGGTATTTCAGTGAGATAGCACTATAAAATTGGCATCAGATCCGCGCTATCACAAGGAGGCAAGCACCCTGCATACACTACACACATTGATGAATGACATTAGCTGTTAATTTGACGTTAAACAAAATTAAACTCTAACTTTTATCGTTATCGGTTTAATTCGCACGTATGTGACGTTATGAGATCTTGCCGGAAAATGGTATCACGCGTCCTTAAATCTTTGCAGTACAAAAACTTGCGAACTTCGCCACTTTCCCCATGTCGTTTTGACACATTCCTACTGTCGAGATTGAATAGTTTAGCATGATTAAACCCCAGAGTGCTAATTACGATGCAATTTCGTTATATTTCCCCATACGTGGTATAAATCAATTCACAACGCGACGGCGATTAGACCTGAAAGTTGGGCCTTTCTTTCTTCGAGTTTATTTATTTAGCTTGTATTCGATTATATCGTATATACAATTATTTAAACTTGCAGCTTTCGTAATGGTTAAATAAACAATGCAATCATGAGTTATTTAACGAAATTAAGCAGTGTATTGCTGCGAGCCCATCTCAAAACATTTCCCCAAAATTTACGATAAATGGTCGCGACCAAGGACTGGGTTTGGATTGTTCTTGTGTATCGTGCGCACCCTTCCTTGACACTTTCATGTTTCCTTAAAATAGTTCGCACTATACGCGAGTATTTTAGGTAGCCGTTTGCCAGACATAAAATCTCTTAATCAATCAATAGCAATACATGATAAAACAGTCTACCCCTTTGAGAAACCACTAGCGTATGATTCATACTCGGAGCATCTTTAGGTTATATGTAATTCCCGTTTGAGAAATGGAGAAATTTGGAACGCCTTCAGGTAGTATGTTATTCCTGTTAAAAAAGGAAATCGATATCGGAGTTATCCAAGAGCTTGTAATTAAGGCCTGATATTTTCAACAGAAGCAAACGCAAGAAAGCTCTGAACAATGATCGACAACAGATGTCACAATCTGGGACTGAAACAAAAATTAATAGTCCCTGCTAGGGTTCACAAAGGGGTGACTGAAAATCCTATTTGTTCAAAAACAACATTCGTGACATATTTTTATGATGTACCGTCTATGAAAAGGTTATTCGAGGAGTTTCTGTGCAATTAACATATGACTATTTACACTGTATTGATCTTTACAATAAAATATGATATATTTTGCAGCCAATTTGTTCGATTTGATGTTTTACTTTAATCCTATACACATTTAAGCTATTAAGTTTTGGTTTCATTTCGTGAATGTCTCTGTTTCCAGTGTTGTTGGCCCTAAATGACTCACATTGTCAATGGGCCGTTAAACAATACACAAACAAACAAACAAGCATTTCAATGTTTTTATCTGAAGAAGACATTCATGCAAAAATCTCGTTTTAATATGTCTATAGCTGTTGCAATAAAGAAAAAAAATAAAGGAAGAAAACTAAGCATAATCAAAAGACGAATAATCCATGAAAATCAACTGTATTTAGAATGACTATAGGCCTTAACCATCGCTAAAAGTTTCCAAACCTGGTATGACAGTAGTTTAGACAAGTCTGGCTTCAGATACATGATGATTCCATCTGTAGATCCTTCCAAAAACAAACTCCTGATTAAGATGACAACCAGCAGGACGAATGGTCCGAGCGCCGTGACGTATACAACCTGCGTTAAAGTAACAAACAATATTATATCTATTTGTCAACATCCGAACTATTAAATCAAGGTTACATAAAAATACGATAACACTCGGCATATTTACATAGGTGGTCAGTTTAAGTTCAGTATGTAATTTTTTCAACAACTTCGTTTGCATTTTTTGTAATTTATTTTTTGTATTTAAAGAGTGAGCTTTATTTCACCTTTTAAAAATTAACCTCATATTCTAAGTGGGGTGGTTTCATTTTGTTATACAATAATCAAAGCATTCAGATGCACATTTTGTTTTGATTTTTAATGCATTTGATATTATCGTTTTTACCTTTCCAACAGATTTTACCCCTTTGATGATACACAAGAAACTAGAAGCGTATGAGAAGAAGAGGGCCAATATGAGGTGCCACTGCGGTGTACCCCAATCTTCTATCCCAGGTGATGCGTTCAGTATCTTGTATCTGTATATAATGAAATCAATGTCAACAGTTATAGCACTTACTATCAAAAACAAACCTATCACAAAATCTTTGAGAAATTTACACCATGCCTGTAGCATAATTCAATAAAGGTTTTAAAGAAATCCGTCCATAAGCGGAAAATGCTCAAATTGACAATATAATCGAGAAATGGTTAAAGGGGCATAACTCCTATTACAGGAGAAACAAGTACGGTGAAACATTTTCACATGCACAGCTTTACATCTTGTTATTAAAATATAAAGTTGCAAATAAATCTGTCATTAATGACGACACCCATGGCAAGACATTATGTGCCTACGAACAGACAAAAGGCATTGCTTTACTGCTGGTACCCGTACTTGTTTGACCTTAGCTGTGAGGTTAACGTTATATCACGAAGAAAAAGAATAATAAACGTAAATGACAGCGCTGTTTGACGTCTTATGTTGGCAACTTTAGAATAAATGTTTCTTTATTAGAGACATCGAATAATCTTGTAATATTACACTTCAAACCTCCATCGTTTACACTTTCATTCCCTGTCGAGACATTATCAGATTTATGTGACTGGGTGGTTCATTATATTTCGGGTGACGCAGGTGATAATGCATCGCCTTTCACAATGTGAGCCGGGATTCGATTCCCCAAGAAGATGCGGGGACACCTGCTACACTTCGCGAGTTTTCTCCTAGTTCTCCGGTGTTCGTCCACATTAAAACACTCTGCGCACTACCATCCGAATCCGAAAGCAAAGAAGAGTGATAAATAAAAGTTGTTAAACTTGTATCACAAATCTTAAAAAAATCACTTTTAAACTAAGTAGGAATTTCAACTATATCTCTGGATAAATATGACGTTATAAACATAGGTAAACATTGTAATAACAGTTATGCAAAAATATATTTCTGATACCATCTTTAAAAATTCATCGCCTACCGTTACCCTTTTCAGTTTGAGTGTTTTGTTCAGACATAAGAGCTGTTTTTATATTAATATAACAACTATAGGTTCAGTCTACGTACCGCCAAAATTCGGTTGCAGCAGTGGGGTAGAACCCCTGTTCGTTCGTCTTTGACGTATTCGCCTTCAGAGATGTGATCGCCGTGGAGTTGTTCGTTCCAGTCGGATTTCCCATCCTCAGGACAACACACGCATCAGTGTTCCATATATTGTCACACGTGGACCAGGGTTGAGTCGGGAAAAACGAGTACCCTATATACAACAGCACCCATGCCATTACCGGACCGTAGTACCAGGCGCCAAGCATGCTCAACATGGTCACAGAATATCCGATACCTTGCAAGAAGAAAAAAAATCGCATTCAACGCTCTGGTTAATCCAGATTTTGTTATCAGGATGACCAAATCTTCGCCAGAGTATAGTTTTGTATGTTTTATTTCATAAATGCTTAAAGATTAGTGTCTATAAGGCCGTTTTTTGGGCCCTGGTACATTCGGATTTTGCCCTCCTTAATTTGTTCAGAGATTTCCTATCGTATGACATGCGAACAAACTAAGGTAAAAGTTTGACCGAAATTGGTTTTTGGGGTACCATAAGGGGTAGGGTAAATCACAAATATAGTTTGCTGTTTTCAAAATGAGCTTAAAATCAATAATAATACCATTTCATTTTTTGAAAACATGTATGAATTAAACATGCATATGTAACAGAATAAAAAATGACAGAAATGTAATCGTCACTTAAAGATTGTTTATATAAAACGAAGGATTAAGTCAGGGGAGTCTTTTGGGTCATTTTCAATTGAAAAGTGTTTTGTTTTCTCATTAATTTCCTTTCTAATTTATATTTTGACTTTAAATTTACAACTTTACTCATTTAGGTAGACTTACATAAATTGCATATTTACTACATAATTTCCTTTTGTTTTATACTGAGTTATGGCTTCTGGACTCATCTCAATCTTGGTTATTTCAAATATGACTCAATTTTAAGTGAATTAAAGGTGCAGGACACCCTTTTTATGCTATAAGATATTTACGGTCAATATTGTATATTTTATGTATCATATAATATGTGCTCAGCAGTGAGTTCCAGGTCCTGATTTGTTTTTTACAACTTACAAATCAAAAATGGCATTTGCCACCGTTGTGGAATGATTAATTTGATATATGAAGTTTGATTTGCTGGTAATTTTAAGTCTCCTAGCCTCAAGGAAAGGATCTGCTTTTATCGTTAAAGTTGTTAAATGTTCTGCCTATTTCCAATGTATATCCGCTAATTGTACATAAAAGGCGTTTAGGGATAAGCATGTAACTTGTCATAGATATTAGTTATATGATGATGTTTAATTTGAAAAAGTTTCATACTGATCACACAATGCCTTTTTCGGTCATACAAAAGGACATCTCTGAAAATCCGGATATATAAGGGCCCAAAAATGACCTTATAGACACTCATCCTTTTATTTCAACAAATCCAAGAACAATGCTTAAAAACTGTGTTTAGAACAAAATCTTCATATGCACTGCAATGTCGTAAGATAGAAGGGCTCCGGTTGTTTATTAAAATAGTAAAAAATAATAATTCTATCTTCACAAAGGATTAAGGGAAGATGCATTTTTTTTACTTTACCTGCATACAGTTCCGTTTACATTTTTGCAATGACAAAAGAAAATAGCAACAAATCATTTTCATACACTCTTGTAAATATATAAATGTAGAAATGAAATAAGCTTATATGCACATATGTTTGTTTTCAATTTTACTTTTGCTCACCTTCAAACAATGGACAGAGTGACCAAGCCAGCACTGCACTCCGTCCTGAAAACTGTCCAAGTGACAGCTCCAGGAAGTAGAGAGGGACTCCACATAGCAGTGTGAAGAAGAAAAACGGTATCAGAAATGCTCCTAAAACAAAGAGAGACAAAATTAGTTTAAAATGCACAGAATGTTTACAGCAAAGACACATAGTCACAAATAGTTGTAAAATTTCGGAATACTTAAACATTTTGTCTAACGTCCTATTAACAGCTTGGAAATGACAGGTACTAATAAGGTTTTCTGCTCGACATTCAATTTTAAATGGTGCCGATCGGCACTTGGACCTATTAACAAGACATTATAAAGTAACCCGATCATTCTTTGACATCGTCTTCATATGCCATAAACTTTCTCAATGACTCAGAACCTTCAAGGATCCCCACACCATCGCTCAAAACCTGGTACTCCTGCCAAACTATGAACTTAAAACTTTACTATGCACATGCAAATAATTTCCAAAATAATTAAACCGACCTCCGTACCGTCACGTAACCCATATCTCGACGACAGAGTCATGTAGTAATCTGCCATCCTCAAAACCCTTTTATGGAGTGTAAAGCCAGCCGGGATGAGGCGGCAAGGAAAGGAATACAGGTAGGACTCCATAAAGAATGGTAAGAATTACATAATGAAAATTGGTGAGACATGCTCAAGGTAGGGAACAGGATCAAGGACCCCCCTTCCCCAACAAACAAACCAAAACGCCCCGAACGTAATTAAGAAGTGGAATACCTCCCCGTTTAACGAACAAGTGTACCACCGAGGAGGTGTGCCACCACCACCGGTCCAAGGGAATACAATCCATCGGAATGAGAAGCCAAGGACCGGAGATAAAAATCCGTGAAGGTAGTCTGTCCACTTTTTATCCAGATAAAACCTAAGCGCCCGATAGGGACAGGGCAATCTATCCCACTCATCAGACCAAACGAAGGCAGTCAAAGATAGAACCTTAATAGGATCGGGCGACAAGCCAGGAACCTGATTACTAGCACATGAAGGAGGATTAGTGAGAAGGGTAACGGCAGAGTAGTTCATGGACCACCAGAGGCAAGAGCGATGAGCGGTCAAGACATGAATCTCACTCCTCCATCGACCCGAGGGCAGACTCTAAAGGCTCATCAGGTGTCCGCATCAGCGGTTCGGGCATCAGTGGCCAATTTCACTACGGAGCCATCTGCCGGACCCTAGGCCTGTCCAGCTCAAACCCCCCAAATCAAGGCAGAAAGAGAGGAGGACGAGCCTACCTCCGGCCTACGATGAACAGAGAGGACACTGTCAATCGCCGAACGATAATCATCGATAATGCCAGGGGCAAGATTGTGGTCCCTAAACAGCCAAAGAAGGAAGTCCATAATCACCTGTACAGTAGCCTTGGATATTATCTTTTCTTTTTCGTTCTAAACAACTTTCTTCTTCCTAATGTCTCCCTTTACAATGTCTCAATTGTGGCCTTTAATTGAGTGTTCGCCGCTGTAAGGAAGTCTTTGAGTTCTGTCTTCTGGCTGAGACACACCAGAGTCTGTAAAACTGGTAGTTTTACTCCTGCTTAACGATCAGCAATATAGGAGTGGGACGTTTGGTTCGCCCGTTGTCAGTATAATGTGACCGGGTGGGGTGAAGAGAAAAGATAAGACCCCAAATCTAGTCGCCTCTTACGATCATGTTATGGGACAGCGGGTACAATTCTTACGCCCTACCTGCAGGGAGACACTAATGCCCCGAGGAATCTCCATCTTGAAGTAAGGAGAGAATTTAGGTGCCGGTTGAAGGCACTTAGATCTGTGATTGGACGCCACGCCCACGCCACGCGGGAGAAGGACCAAAGTTTGAGCAAGGAAGACTACACTCCCGCCGGACACACCGTCGTCCGACACGACCAATGAGGGAGGAAGAGATGGATCAGTCTCTCCATCTCCACGGGTTGAAAAAAAATTCTTCTCTAAAACCCGAGAATGTGCGGTGACCAGAGCTGAAGACACAATAGTGCCTTCTGGCAGAGAGTGGTCCGACTGGGTGGACACCCAAGGAGCAACCAAGGAACCCAAAAGGGTGGTGGACTCACGGACAAATGACAATGTGGTGGGCATACCTTTTTCCCAAATAATTCATGAATCGTCGGCCTCAAGGCCCCGCATACCGGACAACATATGCTTGGCCTCACCCTCAGCAGCTTCAGGGTCACCCTTCAGCCTGTACATCATCTTCAAATGGCAAGCCCCCCTGAGGACCGTCATCAGAAAGACAAGTGTCTATATCAGAGCAACCAGGTGAGAGATGAACAACATCATTGTCCTCTGCCACACCCGCGCCCTCATAGTCCATAGCCTCAACACCAGAGGTCTCGGCCTGAGAAACAAACGAGCCTACCCGAGAGGCAGAAGTCTTAAAGGTCCAACACACCTTCTTAAGATTGGCCGTTAAGGCCCCCGAAGTAGCAGAACATTAAGATTTACACGAAACTCATATCCAGGAGAATAAGGGAAAGGTCCCGCGGGCTGGGAGTGACCACATAACTGGCTAAACTGGCCTGACTGGGGCTGGCCACCTTTCTTAGGAACAATGAAGGCCTTGTCCTGATAGTCAGCATTTGAACAAAGTTCCCAATGTGAAAACTCACTACAAGGACGACACTGGGGACAAGCATCATTAGGGTCCGTTCCCCTAAGAAATGGGAACACCCATGGGCTGACCCCCTTTGCTGTCTCGACCGACACATACCCTCCAAAGCGAAAGTAAAAAGTAAACAAACAGGGGGAAAATAAACTACGACAGTACAAGTTCGCAACGGAGAATGAAATTCACCCGTAATACCAATCGGAAACGGTGAAAACAAACAACCGTAACCGAAATAAACATCGGTCGGAACTTTACAACCCGCCGACAGTAAACACAGTAATGACGTATCACACAGCACACCATCGGGACACGTCGGGTGAAATACCGGCCGAAAAAGGCACAACAATAATGTTTAACAACAAATAATTATAGTAAGATGCGCAGTTTGGGTATATAGCACACAAACTGCGCATTAAATTGACAAGACACTAAAACCAATCCGACAAAACGAAATTTTGATATTTGCATCTTTTGTTTTTTGGCTACAAAGATGGGTGTAGGTATTGTTTATGCATACTAAAGGTAAGATAATTATTACTGAAATGAAAAACTACTTTGTGTCTATGGATAGCAACATGCCGTAACCTTTGAATCATGAACTCATTAGAGGATTTCTCATACCTGAAACCTGGTAAGCTTTGATCAAAATCTGTTAAGAATGAAGTAGCTGGAGTGATTATACTGAATCGTTGGATGTTTTCTATTAATAGCAACAGTGACATTGGCCTTGACCTTCGGATCCCGAAACACAAAGATGTCCGAGGTATTTTCATACCTGACCTCCGTATACATTTGGATCAAAATCCATATGGAAGTAAAGTTCGTAGACAGGTGGTACTGAATTGATTGGTTAGTTACTATAAATAGCAATGGTGGTATTAGCCTTGGCTTTTAAATCCTGAACAAGAACTCATTATTCTAATACTTAACATACGTATAAACTTTGAAAATATCTGTTAAAAAATTAAGCACCTGAAGTGATGACAATCAAACAGTTGATGGGTTTTCTGTATACAGCAACATTGACATTGGCCTAGCCTTTCAACCTAAAGGTGACCGAGGAATTATCATTCTTGACTTTTTCATAATGTTTGATAAACAATCCAACAAAGTTGGTAATTTAAACATTGTATCGTGAAGGATCAGATATTGGTAACACTATATGCCCCAAATGCTCACATTATATTATGCTAGATTCCCGGACAGGTGGGAATACCAGGTAATGAAAAAGCAGATCTTGCGCGCTAAAGCAGCTTTATTGCCTCCACCTGTTGAATGTAAACTTCATTTTATAGATTCTCCGTTAATGCTAAATTTTGTACGGTCAAAGTTACACAATAATTGGAATCAATGCGTAGACAATTAATTACACTTTGTCAAACTGAAAATCGGTGAATGGTATCCAAGCTATAGAGAAAATTGCCGAGACGAGGTTGTCCTTGCCCGTGTTCGAATTGGTCATTCCTACATAACTCATTCTTATTCATTAAAAAGCGAAACCAGCTTCAATGCATGGCATGTGACGAACCATTTACGGTGAAACACTTGTTATTAGATTACATTGACCTGTCAACAAGATAATTGTTGTATGATAATATTACAGACCTCGAATCACTTTTCGAAAAAAATGTCGGTCTTTTCAAATAGATATAACTAAATCATAACCACTTTTACAGTGCATTCGATTTGACACTTGTCTTACTTTTTCGTTTGTTTGATGTTTTTCCTTTAACGTTTTTGGTCTACTTTTATTTGCCCTAATGACGTTGTGGGTTGATGGGCCGTTAAGAATATATTAATAATAATAACAATATTTAAGTTAAATATGGCTTTAAATTTAAAACGACTTTCCTGAAGAACTAAAAGGCCAGGATTTGTGAAATGTGCTGGTAGATTCATTGGATGGAGCCCTACAAAGGTTGCAACCAAAAATAACCTTGACCTTCTTTCAAAGTCAAAGGGGTAAATTAAGTCTATAATGTTAAACGACTTCTCTTTATTTGGGTCAGACGTCAAATATATCAAACAGTTTAAATGACTTCTTTTGAATAACTATAAGGCCTAAATTCATAAAATGTAGCTGTTTGCTTTCTGAAGTGAAGTTTACAATATTTTAGAATACGAATGACCTTGACCTATTATCAAGGTTACAGAGGTCCAATATGTCAAAAAATTAAAATGACTTATGCTGAAAAACCAAAAAGTCAAAGAGTTGTGCCATTTCGCTTATATCTTTCTGACGGCGATCTTTACAAGCTGTGCAAACGAAAACTACTTAAGCTAAATTTGAGGTAACAGAGGTCATATATTCGATAAATGTAAAACAACTCTTGAACAAATCACACAATTGATAACAAGAGTACCGCAGGGCGGAACAATATACGCCCGTCGAATGCCATATAGTGTTATTTACTTTCTTACATTGAAATAAGATCTGCATCATTCAAAGAGTGGTTAGCTGACATGCTATAGAAATGTAGGAGAAAATCTCCGGATAAAAAAATAAAATACTGAAATGAACAAAGGGCAATTTTTTTTTGCAAAAATCGTCGAATCAAAATTCCTTTCAAGGAAACACAACAACATATCATGATTATTTAGCCAACTAAGTTTCAAAGAGATTTGTTGAAAAATGTAGGAAGAGAATGCCGGACAAAAATCAAATACTTAAATGAAACAAAGGGCAATAACTTTTGCAAAAATTGTCAAATCAAAATTCTTTTTAAGGATACACAACAACATATCATGATTATAATGTATACAAAGTTTCAAAGAGATCCGTTGAAATATGTAGGAGGAGATTGCCGGACAAACAAAAGTTTACGCCGGACGGACGGACGGTCGGACAGACAACGCCATACCATTATACTGCCGTCAGTTGACGGGCGTATACAAATGTGTTTGGTATTCGACAGGTTTTGAAGTTAACAACAAATTCAAGGTGAGCTATTGAGTCCCGACTGTCTCTCATTCCTATCATTCGAAGAATGATACATGCTTACAAATGGACCAAAGGGAACCTACATGTCAGCTATTTTGGTTTGTACAATCAATCGCAATATTCAATATGCATGACTATTGGGAATTGACATGTTTAATTTAAGAAAGACACTAATTTCTCAGAAATACCGCGAATAAGAAGTCTTGAAGGGACGGACGAATGACGGTCATTCATTTTTGATTTTTAGACCAGTCCAAATGATTATATGTATAACTAGGAATTATGTTCATACCGAGGGATTACGGACAACCGTCATTCGAAATTTGATTCAGCACTAACTACGGACGGAATAACAAACCACGGACGAAGGGCGGTTGGCAGAGTTAGTAATTTAATTATTAAAGGCTCATCAACTCATAAGAGGTCAATAAGGTCAATAAAAATTAAATTGAACATGTTAATGGAAAGGACATCAAACGAACGTCAAGGTAAAAGACAGACGTCAACATCAAATGTAGAAGTGATAGTTATATCTTTTTGAACAGACCAACAGTTTTTTGGAAGGTATGAATTGTAAGAGATACTGCCTATTTCGAGAGAGAAATAGGGATTTTGAGATCTGTTGTATTATTAAAAAAAATCTCCTGTTGGCTGAAGGTCATTGCAATTTAGCAAGTGTTTTACTGTTACTGGTTCGTTTTATTCTATGCGTTGAGACTGGTCCTCTCTTTTCAATAAATAAGATGGATAATGTATGAATTACCAGTCCGGAGTCGAGCAAGGATAACCTCGTTTCAGCAGCTTTCTCTATAACTTTGATACAATTCAACGATTCTAGGTTTTACAGAGTGTAATTTGTTGTAAACACATTGCTTATAATTATTTTGCCACTTTGACCTTACAAAAAATAGCACCATCTGATAATGTTTGGCTAAAAATGAATGTCCTTACCTCCACCATTTTTCAAACAGAGATATGGAAAACGCCATATACTTCCTAGTCCAATGGTAAATCCAATTAAGCTTAACAGGTACTCAAAGCTATTGGACCAATTATCACGGTCAGGAAAGCGTTTTGACTTCTCAGTTCCCTTGTTTATTAGATCGGCCTCAATTTCGTCCAATTCCATGTCCAGTGATGTGCTCGTTTCCTTTTATGAAGAAACGCACTTTGCTTTTTAAACGAATCCCTCTAATCAGTGAGTCAGCCTTTATTTCGCTGCAATTGTCTCCTTAGGTACTTTTTGAACGTGTTATATATAGTCGTTTGGCAATAAAGTATTTAAATTGGCCGTTGATTTGTTGGGTTAAACGTCGTATAAATAGCTACGGTAATTTAAACACATGACTCCACGTGTGTACTCCATCCGTGTATGTGTGAGCTAAATGCGGTACAGAAATGTGTGTTAGTTTATATACCGCCTTGCCATAGCGCGGATCTGATGCCGACTTTACATATTGTGCTACCAGACTATAACTATGGTGATTGCAAGCAGTTGTTTTCAGTGTGGGACTATAGATTTGCATTCTGTCCGTCCTTCCGTCCAAGAAGTTTTCCGGGGTATATCTTCTATACTAATTAACCAGGAATAACCAAGTTTGGTGGACAAGGACATCTAAGAATTAGGTCACTGTGACCTTTACTTTAAAACAAGAGGCCCACAGGGCCTGTATCGCTCACCTGGATATATAAGCAATCATGGCAAAATATTCTCCAAATGAGATCCAAGGGAATATGCCAGACCCAAAGGCCAATCCTTGTAGCATATCTGTATTATATTTTTCATGCCCAGCAATTTTATGGTTGGTTATGGGGTGGGGATCTCAACTGTTTCCAAGCTGTGACTTAGAAACTAGGTCCCTAGCGTTATGGCCAGGATCAATTATAATATAATGACTGCGTTCGTCTCTTTATACCCAACAATTGTATATATATTTGTGGGGTGGGGATCTTAACCATTTCGAAGTTATGCCCCAGGGGTTAAGTCTCCAAGGGTGGGGCTGTCCCCAAGGCCATCCTGGAAGCATATGTGCAGTCATCTCTTTATACTCAGCAATTGTATATAAGGTCATAGGGTTGGGGATCTCAACTGTTTCCAACCTGTGACTAAGAAACTAGGTCCCTAGGGATTCGGTCAGACCCCAGGGTCTATTATAATATCATTACTACATTCGTCTCTTTATGCCAAGCATTTGTATATATAGTTTTGGGGTGGGGATCTCAACCGTTTTCAAATTATGGCCCAGGGACTATGTATCCAAGGGTGGGGCCAGACCTTAGAGTCAATTCTAATATCATGACTGCGTTCGTCTCTTTATGCCCAACAATTGTATATTTAGTTTTGGGGTGGGGATCTTAACCATTTCGAAGTTATGACCCAGATGTTAAGTCTCCAAGGGTGGGGCAGTACCCAAGGCCATCCTGGAAGCATATGTGCATTCATCTCTTTATACTCAGCAATTGTATATATGGTTATAGGGTGAGGATCTCAACTGTTTTCAACCTGTGACTAAGAAAATAGGTCCCTAGGGGTTCGGTCAGACCCCAGGGTCTATTCTAATATCATGACTGCATTCGCTCTTTATGCCCAGCATTTGTAAATATAGTTTTGGTGTGGGGATCTCAACCGTCTTAAAGTTATGGCCAGGGACTATGTCACCAAGGGTGGGGCCAGACCCCAAGGCCATCCTGGAAGCAAATGTGCATTCTTCTCTTTATACTCAGCAATTGTATATATGGTTATATGGTGGGGATCTCAACCATTTCCAAACAATACTCTTTTTTCGACCAAATATGATCGACATCCATGGCATAGTTCTACAGAAGTCGTTTATAGTAATATAGCCAAATTGCCCCCGTTTGGCCCCGCCCTCAGCCCCACCATTTGTACAATTTTGAATCCCCACAACCTAGGGATGCTTCCAGTCAAATATGGTTGATATCCAGCGCATAGTTCTACAGAAGAAGTCGTTTGTAGCAATATAGCCATATTGCCCCCCTTTCTGTCCCGCATGTCAGCCCTCTGGCGGGTCAGCCCAACCATTTGTACAATTTTGAATCTCCACTATCGAGGGATGCTTCCAGTCAAATATGGTTGATATCGATCTCTTAGTTCCAGAGAAGAAGTCGCTTAAATCAATATAGCCCAATTGCCCCCTTTTGGCCCCGCCCCTCAGGCCCATATGGGGCCAGACCCCCGGTTTATACAAAATTGGTTCAACCTCCTTTACACAAGGATGCTTTAGACCAAATATGGAACAAATCCTTTCATTCCTACAGAAGAGGAAGGATTTTAAATAATTTATTATGTGTTCCCTATTTGGCCCCGCCGCTCAGGGCCCTACGGGGCCAGACCCACGGTGTATACAAAAATTGGTTCCCCTTTACACAATGATGCTGCAGACCAAATATGGAACAAATCCTTTCATTCCTACAGAAGAAGGATTTTAAAGAATTTGCTATATTTCCCCTATTGAGCCCCGCCCCTCAGGCTCATCTGGGGTCAGACCCCCGGTTTATACAAAATTAGTTCCCCTTCACACAAGGATGCTTCAGACCGAATATGGAACAAATCCAATCATTCCTACAGAAGAAGAAGGATTTTAAAGAATTTACTATGCGTTCCCTATTGGGCCACGCCCCTCAGGGGCCAGACCCACGGTTTATACAAATGTGTTCCACTTCCCCCAGGGATGTTTCAGACCAAATGTGGAACAAATCCTTTTATTCCGGCAGGTGAGCTAAAACGTTTGTCCAGGGCATATATTTTGTTCTGCACTACCTGGAGTAACCAGATTTGGTGTACAAGGACATCTTGGGATTACGAAGTGCAAGACGTAGGTCACTATAACCTCACTTTTGCCTATGCTTCCTGACAAAGTTGTACTGTTTGTTATATATAGAAATCATAACCGGCGAGGGATTATGGGTTGCCTATCTATACTCTGCCTTGTTGATAATGACATGACCTGAAACCAACGTCCAGTGTGGTCGTTCTCATATTTTGGAAAACTGTTAACATTTAAGTTTGTTTGATGTTTTTATTTAGCATTTGGTTTTTTGACGATTTGTTGGTCCTAATGACCTATCCGGTGTTGACGGGCTGTTAAGAATTTAATAATAAGAATTTTGGAAAAGCCGATGATGAAAATAACTACAACCGAAATAGCGCAATATCCGGGCCTTCCTGCGCTGTATAAACATCTACATATTTTATTTTATTTTGGTTAACGTCCTATCAGTAGCTAAGTTCATTTAAGGACGTGCCTCCGTGTGTGTTATGTATGTGTGTATGTGTGCTGGAGACGGGGTAAGTTGGTGTAATTGCTCATTGTGATAACGCTGTTCTGATGCCGACTTGATATTGCTATCTCAATGAAATGCTATGCCGACAACACCCAGCACAGCATTCCACCTTGTTTCATTATACTGACAACGGGTGAACCTTCTATCCAAAAACAATTAGCTATCCAAGGACGAAAAGCTATGTTTGCACTATTTTCAAAGTGTTCATCATTAAACTTATATTTAAAAACTATGCTACACTTTTCGATACATATGTAAGCAGTATCTCTTTTTATGCAAGTGAAATTTGGTGTATGCACAAAGCTCCAGAGATTGAACATGTACATTTACATTTTTGTAAGAAATTACTAAAAGTGAAGAAATCGGCCAATAACAACATGATATATCTTGAATTGGGACGATAACCTCTAGTTTGTATGAGAAAAATTAGAATGATAAAATATTGGTTTAAGATCTTAAAATCTTAAAATTGTACCATTTCCACTTCCTATAGATTTTTATTAAAATGTTGTAGTAAAAATGATTTCAACTGGGCTAAAGCAGTAAGAGATGAATTGAATAATCTAGGTCTTAACAATGTTTAGTTAAATCCATGTATTTCTCAGGAAATGTGTTATTACCATTGATAAAACTTTTTTTTTTATTAAGGCATACAATCCCTTAGGACCTCAATGGAAAACTCTCCGAAATCAATGGATAAACATTTTGGAGAGTTTTCCATTGAGGCCCTAAGGGATTTATCAAAAGCTGTTATTGGAAAAAAAATCTGTGTTTAAAGCTGTTCGGTTATTGAGTGTCCGTAACATTAAAGAATTTTGTATACTAGGAAAATTCATCTATGAGGCAAACAAATTAAGGGAATTATAATGGAATATGATTGTCTTCATTATCTGTACATTGTCCATGATTTGTTTGTTTGTTTGTTTGATTTTGTTTAACGTCCTATTAACAGCTAAGGTCATTTAAGGACGGCCTCCCCTGTGTGGAAGATGCATGCGCGTAATGCCTGTGTGTGTATTTTGGGAGGCTGCGATATGTTCGTGTTTATCTCCTTGTGATAGCGCGGAACTGATGCCGACTTTATAGTGCTACCTCACTGAAACATACTGCCGAAGACACCCAGCAGGACGCCCCACCCGGTCACATTATACTGACAACGGGCGAACCAGTCGTCCCACTCCTAATTTGCTGAGCGTTCCCGATTTGTGTATAATATGTATTGTATACTGATGGGCCAATGGCCTTAAGTTCGAATAAAACTTGAAACTTGAAACCCTTTACATATTTGGGATCTTTATCTTTCTACTTCTAACTACTTTTTTATTTCCTAAAATACCTCACTTTTGGCTTGACTGTTGAGCATTCGCCCAGGTGAGTAAGACAATGGGTTCTGTCCCCAGGCCGGAAATTACCAAAATCAATAAAAATTGTAGTTGTTATTCCCTGCTTAACGTTCAGCATTTAGGGGAATGGCAACAACTGGTTCACCCATAGTCAGTATAATGTGACCGTGCAGAATAATGTGCTTGGTGCCTTCGGCATAGCATTTCAGTGAGATAGCCCTACAAAGTCGGCATCATATCCGCGCTATCACAAGGTGGCAAGCGCAACAACATACCCGTCTCCTGCATACACACACACAAGCACGCATACACTACACTCATGGAGGCACATCCTTAAATGACCTTATTTGCTAATACATTTATTCACCGTGGCTAAAGTTATATAAACATGCAAAAAAAATGTGGATAAACTCGATGATGGAACTGTCAGTCAAATGCTAAAGCTTTGTTTTGTATATAAACTATCACGAATCAAATCAAA